ATTCTATGATTCTATGATTCTACATCCCTCCCAGAGATCCCTTTTAGATATAGACAAGCCAAGTGTAATAAACAGTACTGTCATCTTCAGATAACTCACCGCTTTGAGTCTCCTTTATAAGAGGTCTCTTCTCCTTGATAAATGCTGCTAGTACTATTGTGTCCATTGGAAGTGTGATTCTTTCTGATATAGCTGTGTCCGATAGATGTAGTTGTATTGCTACAGGAGTATGCTTATCGGTAACTGTATCCATGCTAGGACAGTTTTTCTGGTTTAATTAAAGCAAAGTAAGTATAACAAGCATCCTCAGAACAATAGTTGAGATTTTCTTTCAAACTTGCAGAGCCCAGTGAGAAATCTGAATTTAGTAGGTCAGAAGTATAACTTCATTAAGATAGATTAGAAATCAAATCTGTAAAGAAAAACACAGTTGTCTTGGTTTTGCAGCCATCTCTAATTAGCTGTAGGTCTGAAAAGCTTTGAAAACCATGGGACTATCCAGGTATAATCAGGAACATAAAGTCTTCTGGCATAGACCAGAAATATCATGGCTTGAGTTTGAAATTCCAAAGGCTGGTAGGTATTAGAACAGTCTGAAGTAGTTGCAACCTGAGCAGTCTGGTATGGAGTCACTGAGATGCAATAAATCACCATCATAATGCTATTTTTTACAGAGTGAAAGTAAACTTTCAAGTGTCACTTTTGGTACTGTGATCAAAGATTTCTTTTTGCCTCTGCTTAATCTCTTACATTTTACAACTGCTCTCTTCCTTAATAGCGAGGCTCGTTTACAAATGTGCTGTCCTGCTTCCCAACAGATGTCACCTGGCTGAACTTTACATTACTGCATGCTGTCTCATGCCCAGCCCATCCCACACACACATATGCTGGCCTCCTTGCACAAAACCACGTGCAGCACCCCACACACAGTTCTGGAGACATTCTCTCTCCCTCTCTCTCTCTCCCTCTCTCACACACACACACTCCCGGAGCTTTACACCTTTTTCCTCCTGTTTCATCTTTTAGTCACTTCTTAAAGATGCTGACAGTGATTTGTTTGAGGCAGTCGAAACCTGAAACATTCTGAAAAGAAACATGCTGAAAGAGAAACACATGGGAAGAGAAAAAGCTCGTAGTAATTTTCGTTGTATCACTTTTGCACAAGGCTTCATGTGTGGTGAGTGACTGATCTACATAAGGATGCTTCAAATAGAAAAACATCATAGAAGAAATTTTAAATCCTATGTAGAAAATAAGAGCAAAATTTCCCTCCTTTCTTCCCTCTGTCTCCAAAATATGCTTTTCCACCCCACAGCCAGCCCCAAATTTAATATGAGGGTCTGTGTGGGCTCTAACACATACGTGAGGGGGAGTGCACATGAAGTACCAGTCAGTAATAATCTTTCTTTTTTTTTCCTCCTCAGTTTGTTGCTCAGCCAAACTGCCAGCAGCTACTAGCAACACTTTGGTATGACGGTTTTCCAGGATGGAGGCGGAAACACTGGGCAGTAAAACTCTTGACCTGTGTCACCATTGGACTGCTATTTCCTGTGCTATCCGTGGCATATCTGATTGCACCGAAGAGCAGGCTGGGACTGTTCATTAAAAAGCCATTTATAAAGTTTATCTGCCACACTGGCTCTTACCTAACCTTCCTCTTCATGCTCCTGCTGGCGTCGCAGCACATCGTCAGGACTGACCTTCACATGCAGGGACCACCTCCCACCATCGTAGAGTGGATGATCCTGCCCTGGGTTCTAGGTAAATCAGAAACACAAAAATGCCTGAGCCACAGTCGCCTGACTCGCACCCATGGCAACTGTGGGGGGACTCATTCCCGATCTCAGCATCATCAGCGTGTAAAGAGATTTGGCAGCCAGCTTCAATAACTGCATAAAACAGCTGGGCTCCTTCTGGAACAACGGATCCTGTTGGCCTAGGGCTCTTCTGCTGTTCATATTGCCATCTGACATGCCTTTAGACAAGACCCTGAGTAAACTGCAGCAAATGCAGCTCTCCCTGCTTCCCCATGCTCTGTGCAAGTAACGAGTTAGGAATTAGCTTCTGGGTCATGCTAGTAACAAATAGCGTCACTTCGCATGCTGGCTTAGTTCTGCTGGCTGGTACATGGCAGAAGGCAGCTGAGAGCCTGTCTCTGCTTTCGCCTTCTCACTGATCTGCACCCGGAGCCGGTGTGCAAGTACCAGGCCCGTTTATTCCTGTGCTCCCAGGCTTCCAAATAGCCTACAGGAAGGCAGAAAAGGGAAGATAAATCTCACTCTGCCGTATGCCTCTGGGCTGATAAACACTGACAAAATCAATACCAAGTGCTCTAATATAAGCAGGAGAAGGAGGGAATATTTATTATCAGAAGGTTAAACGTGAGGCTCTTATTCCAGTCTGGCTTGCCCAGCCACAACTGTGAAGAAAAGGAGGTGTCTGTGTTCCTGAGGGCGGGATGTATGGGTGAGGTAGTGAGATGCGTGGGAGAAAGCAGATGAGCCACTGAGGGAGAAGAGCAGAGAAGCATAGATGGATATATTTTTGATGAGAGAGAAGTATTTACCCTTCCAAACTGAGCTCCAACACAACAGCAAGTGAAAACCTGTGGACTGTGGACTCCATTAGAAGCGTGATCTCTCCTCTAAGCTCCCATCTCCCTTGCTGTGCCATTAACATGTAGCATCACTGTGAGCTGAGGTGTTACTAGGAGGCCTGCTCACAGGCAATGGTTTCCACACCTTTATAGCTCTCCTCCAGCCTCTGTCCGTACAACCCATGTCAGTTCAGTGCAAAACCCCAGTGGTCAGGTCACAGAATTGCAACTATCTAGTAGGAAAGCCACACTGATGCTTTCTGAGGACACCTCTCACAAACCTCAATCTCTGGAGCTCTCCTTACGGCTCCTCAATGCTTCTCATGGGTCCACCTCTGCTTTTCTGTGCCTGCTGGCTCTCCTCTCCTGGTAACACTGGGCCCCAGCTCCTCGTTTCTGTGGTGGCTCTCGATCAGGCTGGTTCTGTGCTGAACGAACCTAGCTGTTCCCCACGCCAAACCTAAAATTGCTGATGGAAAACAAGGAAAGAAAGAAAGAGTTGCAAACCTGTTCACAAATCACTTTCCATCGTGACCCAGGGCACTTTGCTCCTTGCATAGCTCTACCACAACTTACAAATGGTAACTCAAGCCTCATTATCTTACTGAACTAATTTATGGCATTAAAATGCACGTGTTGGTAGAAACTTCAGAATAAGCTGAGAAAGTTAAATGTCTGTTCTGAGCTTAGGTAATCTCTTCACTTTATCCTTAACTTCATGGTTAAAATTGAAGGAAATGGTAGGCATTTCAGCAAAATTGATTTGCAGGTGAAAGAAGGATAATCCATTAAAAAACCCCTTTCAAAATCACCTCTTACAGCTGTCTGCTCTTTTTGAGTTCCTTTGTTTCGGATAAATAGGGATACTGTGGGACTGTTTATTAAATGGAGAAATTAGAACAGTTTCACCAGATTAAGGGTTGTTGTTTAAGAAATATTTTCCACTATAAAAGGAGAGAGAGAACAGGCACACAGCATTGCTGTAACTATAGTAACCAGCAATGATAACTCACTATAAATCCAGTGTATGAGTTCTTCAGCAGGCTCCTCTCCATTGATTTATTTTATTTTATGTTTTTGTGCGCATGTGAAGATTTGGAGGAAGCTGTAATAAAATTACCTTATTGGCCTTAACATTATGCTTGCCTGACCATTGACCTGCTGGCTGGCAGCTGAAGAGCTAAGATTGATATTTGGATGTTTGCAGCAGTTCATTTCAACATTATCTGCTCTTCAGATTGAACTTTCAGGTCCTAAAACTGGCGTTGCAAATAACATTTCAGTGACCACTGCAGTATCCTGTGGTTAGATATGGGTAGCAATTTGGGTAACTATATTGGTAATGCACCTGGAGGTGTATTTTGTTGTTTTTTTTTTCTTTTCACACATGTTTCAGGTCTTCATTCAAGGATAATGTTGTAAACTGGGTAATTCAGAATATCTGGGTGCTCTAAAGACATTCTCAGAAGCATATTGGTGTTGAAGGAGCCTAGCTGCCATTTGCTTTTTAATGGGACTTAGGCTTTCAAAAATACTTGAACAGTTCTACAATAAAGGACATATAAATTACTTAAAATTAGAATTGTATGCCAGGTGAGTTTAGCAGTCTGGTAATGAACTTCAGAAGCTACCCCTCCTGCTGCAAGGAGGTATAGTGAAGGTTAGCAAGTGCCAAAAATTATTACCAGAAGGCATTTCAGAATTGAGACGATGGGCTCTGGCTGCATCCTCGAGAACAAACATTCACCTCGCAAAACCCATAGCCATATTTGACATTAGGCGAGTCATTGCTGAGAGAGATGCGATGCCAGGCTGCAGTGCCCTTTTTTGTGCCGAGTCCTACCTTTTTTCACAAATAGTCCCTATGGGCTTTTTGTGCAGCAAGATGCATAAATACAGTGACTGAGCATAGAGAATGAATTCACTTCTTCCTTCTTTGGTGTGATATTTCCAGGTCAGTGAGGAAATACACTGCCATGCAGAAGCTGGTACTAGTGTTGCATGTTCTGCAGAGAAAGTCAGGGAGAATCAGTACTGTCCAATTGAGCAATGAATTACTTATAGTTTCTATGAGAGCAGACAATCTATTAGAAACTATACCAAATACAGTTGCTTGAATAGTTTATTCATGTAGAACAAATTTCATATGAGCCAATCCACTCATACTAGTTATAATTAACATATGTTTCAAGCAGTCTCCTTATGTGTATATCTGGAGCCCTTGGATAGGAAACCTAGGTCTTTTTCATATCTCTCTAGACTACATTCCCCACAGAGTTGTAAAATGTCTTATAATCAGCAGTATTATACTTTGTAGAAGACAGGAGGGATGAGACATTTCTTCCAAGCTGTTAATTTAGAATTGTCTTTTATTACATCAGATATACACAGTGCTTTAATGGCAAATAATACCTCGTCATGACAATGAACTCTCTCTCTTTCTACAGGTTTTATCTGGGGAGAAATCAAGGAAATGTGGGATGGTGGATTCAATGAGTACGTACATGACTGGTGGAATCTGATGGATTTTGCAATGAACTCCCTCTATCTTGCAACTATCTCCCTTAAAATTGTTGCCTACGTCAAGGTACAGTAACTTGGAAGAGAGAATTCGTAACTTGCTTGTAAGAAACTGTCAAAATCAAAATTACAGATCAAAGAGAATAGCTGCTTTTCAAGCAGTCCAGTTTTGAAAATTCACCTGAAAAGCTTATTAATTTGTTTGGACAATGATCATCCTTCCCATCCTGACTCTTTGATTAAGACTGAAGTAGATTGTTTGAGCATTGGGTAGAAGTTTCCCCACTTCCTGTCTGTTTTGTAGCTACTCAGTTGCCAAAGATATGTCTGTTTTCCATACTGACACTGGACCTCTTTCAACAATGCTAGACATAGTGAAAACATGATTTTTAAATAAAAAGTAAAGGAAAGGCAAGAATAGGGTTATCTGAAAATGTCTACAGCCAAGATTTGTAATCGGTAGTCCTACAGATCTGTAGATTACTAATCAGAAGTTTGTGAAAAGTCTGCTAAGAAAAGCAAGCCTGCTAGTAGGAGGCTTCCATCTAATATAAAGGAGTCACCTTATTCTCTTCAATATATAGTTTTTAAACTATAGGCAAGAAAATGACAAACGAGCATGCTGGAGCTTTAATATTGTGTAGATTTTTCACTGTCGTGTTCCATTTATGGTGAGAATGCACATCAGAGCTCATCCTCAAAAGCACCTTCCACATTTATAAACATCTGATGCTCCAAGTTAGCTTACGCACATGTTTTGAAGCCAGAGGACGGCCTGAAGCACTTTCCTCCTGTCTCTCTTTTTCAAACATACAGACAAGACACACATGGCCTCCTGCAAACTTCCTTATGTAATGGCTCTCTTTGACTTCAGTTGGAGCTGCGTGCTTGGCCTGATTATTTTCTTGGTATGAATCAGCAGTAACTTCACTACAGTTAGTGTAATTACACAGGTGTAAATCAAGTAACTGGAGTCTGCTCTTTGGCCACTTATGCTCTTTCTAGTTTTCCTGTGCTATTGTGTTAGTTTTGCCCTGGTAGAAGGATATTACTACTTTTAGCCCAGCTCCCAGGACAAGCACTTCCCTAAAGCAACCTTGTTTAGTCCCGCCCAAGCAGGTGTGCAGGTGGAGAGGAAAAGAGGAGAAAATTTCACAAAGGTCATTGACTCCAAAATGGCAAGGTTTTTATAAAAAACTATTTAGCAAGCAGTCCTGCTATGGTGCCTTCTTAAAATCCAGAAGGCTGCATAGTGGTGAGTTAGTTTTTCAAAGGGAAAAGCTTTAAGATAGTTGCTGCTCCCTGAAGAAGCAGCTCTGTAACAGCATCAAAGCAGGAACAGATTACGTCTTTTTTCTCCCAATGTTCAGAACCAGTGAGGAAATTACAGACTTGAAAGGTTGGTCTTTAAACTGTGAGCAATACAAAAAAATGCTGGAAATTGTAAGATTCACGAACAAATCTTAAAATCTAAATCTCAAAAAAGAACAATCTTGTTCTTTCTCTTTCTCACACACAAATTACTAGAAGAGCTGTGCATCCACAGATTTATACAGTCACATACTGAGATTAAATTCATAGCCAAACCACACGTACAAAGAAAGTACAGCTTTGTTTATATACTCTGTAAGAACTACGGAAACTTACAGGCTAACTACAAAGACCTATATGCCAGCACACAAAAGAATGCTTGCAGGAATATATCTGTTTGAGTACAGATCAGACCCACTTGGATTAAACCTGGCTGATCTAAGGTCTACAGATTTACACAGTCACATACTGAGATTTAAACTCATAGCCAAACCACACGTACAAAGAAAGTACAGCTTTGTTTATATACTCTGTAAGAACTACGGAAACTTACAGGCTAACTACAAAGACCTATATGCCAGCACACAAAAGAATGCTTGCAGGAATATATCTATTTGAGTACAGATCAGACCCACTTGGATTAAACCTGGCTGATCTAAGGTCTGCTCCTGATAAGGACCAATGTCAGACAATTCTGAGAGGTGCATAAAATCTTACATAGGAGTAGTTCTGAAACAGCATGCTCACAGAATGACCTTCTGACCTATGTCACTTACAGGTTGCAATATGCTCTGAAACATGAAGATTTATAACGTTGATAATGGCTTCAAAACCTTTTGCAACACAACTTGTAAAGATTTTTGTTGTTTATTAAACAGCCCCGAGCTGGAAGAGGCTGGTATATATGCCAATATACCATATTCTAACACTTCTTAGAACTTCAAAGGATTACATGGACATTTAGCTTTCTGCCAAATATCAGAAAAATAAATTGCATACTGACACTAATGTTTTCCATCCTTGTTTTTATGTGGAGACTTCTTTTTTCTTGATTTGACTGGTTCCAAGCCCTGGCCCTAATATTGTCCAATACCAATGAAATCTTCAGGCTAATTATAGGGTAAAAATACTTTCTTCATCAGTTTTCATTTGCTGCATTGAATTATCATGTAATGAGGAAGGCTAAATGTGACTGCCTGGCATAACTTATTTTTACTATTCTGTATACATCTCTGCTGTGTTTCATTTTCATCTTCTGATGCCTAACCCAAACAACTCCAGCTTTCCCAGATACCCAGCTTCATTAGATACCTCTGAAATCTTCTGGTTCTCTACTACCTATGATGCTAGGCTGCTCTGAAGAAACTACTGTTTTCCAAGCAAGGACAGACTATCAGTTTATAAAGGACCAAAATATGACCCTAACAAGTTGCTTTAAAAATAGATACGAGATGCAGCAGAAGACCCTGCTTTTACATGCAGTCTATGCTAAACGCTAGCAGAGAGCCCCTGGGCTGCTCTATCCAGCCAGCATGCAGAAGAGAATTGCGAACAACTGTGCAAATCTGCTCTCTAGGCAGGGGAGGCTTTCCGATCACAACCATCCGCCCCCACTGCTGGATATTGGCAAAAAGTTAACATGTCTGCCTGTTTGTAAACATTTTAAGACCCATCTTCAAATCAAGTTATCAGACTAGGCCATGATGTTCATTTAATAAAGAACAGTTTGGAAATGTCAGAAGCAATCAGAGGTCATGCTGAAATGCCTTTGTATCATGTCTCAGCTCCTCCATACACAGGAATAGTTTGAAATATCAACTTGCTTTTAGCTGTGTCCTTGAAAAATTGTCCTTGAAAAAAAATTGTGAGCTCGTGTATTGGACCTTTGGATTTAAATAGAAAGTCCCTGCAAACTCTGTCAGTGTGATATTGATACCATTTCCTTTTAAAAGGTACAAAAATAATTTTAGGAGTCCTAAACACGCTGGCTACGCTATTAGCTATATTATTCTAAGTACACTTTTGCCTTTTTATACATATTAAATGAGCAGAGACAAATGTTAAAAGGACAATTATTCCTTGATGTTAAAATGTCTTTGACTTCTGTTTTGCCCGTGTAGTTAAGCGAGAGTAGTTACATTTATACAACCAGCTCTTTTGTATTACCTATTTGCATCTGGCTGCGCTTTGCTCAGAAAACGCTTCTGCTTTTACAGTTACATTACGAACCAAGTTAATGTTATAATTGATGCACTCAAATGTATCCAGTGTTTCAGCTGTAATTATGACCTCTGCTTTAGCAACTCTCCTAAAATTGCCATGGCAAATTAACTAATAAGAAAATTAATATGAAGAAGCATTTTGGTTCTGGGCTGTGGGCACTTTTTTTGAGATTACTAGGGAAGGAAAGCATCCACTTCTTACGCTCAATAGTTCATTGCTTTCCTTCTTCCCTCCCTTCTCCCTCCCTCACATTCTTCCTGGAAGAATGTGCAATCATATTTAGGAGGAAAAAGAAAAAGAGGTAATTGGAAATTTCCTACCTGAACCTGCTAAAGGGCAGTCTGAACCCCTTTAAATGTTGAAAGAGAAGGAGATTGTGTATGAACCCATGGACTTGAAGAACCCACAAACAGTGAACTCAAAATTCAAAAGGTCTGTTTTCTAAATTTAGTCTAAGAACAGCCAACATACCAGAAGCCTCTAAAGAAAAGCTAGTCCCACAACTATCCGTATCAGGGGGTCATAATCTAGTAGGGAGAGTTCATAAGAAGGCATCATTAAACCTAAGTCTCTGCCCTGATCAAGTCAGCTTCAATTCTGAATCCTGAATGTTAGTCTGACAGTAGCTGAAACTCAAGAGTTTAAAAGTACTTCTTGTGTCACCAGTACCTGCTTAGTATTTATATGTGCAGTATTAGTATTAGCAGGTGTGTCTTTTTTGAGTTATCTCAGAGTAATTACAACATAATTCACTTTTTTACGCTTGTTATTTCTTTCAGTATAACGGTTCTCGTCCAAGGGAGGAATGGGAAATGTGGCACCCGACTCTCATTGCAGAAGCCCTCTTTGCAATATCCAATATTTTAAGTTCCTTGCGTCTCATATCCCTGTTTACAGCAAATTCACACCTGGGACCCTTGCAGATTTCTCTGGGACGCATGCTGCTAGACATCCTTAAATTCCTTTTTATCTACTGTCTGGTGCTTCTGGCTTTTGCCAATGGACTGAACCAGCTTTATTTTTATTATGAGACCAGTGCCTCGGAGGAACCCAACAACTGCAAGGGGATCCGATGTGAGAAACAGAACAATGCCTTCTCCACGTAAGACCTCCTTTCCTTCCTGTTTTTAAGGCTGACTTCCACTGTCCCCTGTCTTATCTGCCTTTGCCCTGTCTGTCACTGCACTCAAAGTGCCTTTATTTGTTCATTCGCAAATATCAGGTGAGCTGGTTGACTATGCGGGAAAGGTGTGAGTTAACTGGGGCACACATTCTGCTGAGCTTTGCTGTCAGAAAGACTCTTACTTAGGTCTGGAAGTGGGAGGCAATTGTTTTAGTTCTGGACCAAAGAGTCTCCCTACATGACCCTGCAACTTAAATTTTATTATGGCTACATACAATTTCAGTATATTTGAGTATATCCTTTTGCCATAATAATTGTTTTGTCTGATTCCGGAGGAAACGAGGGGAAGCTAAACAAAATGTAGAAAACAAGGGATAAACCGATGAAAAAAAGGTATTAATAAATAATGTGATACAGCAACAACAATCTCACCTACGTGATTTTTATGCATGCATGATGTTGCAGGCTTCTCTGATTTCCTTGCAGTGGGGAGAGACTAAAATCCCAGCAAAATCCTTTTTGCTGGAAATGCTGGTACTTTACTGAGATGTTGGCATGGAAATTGCTGTGATGACAGCTGGCAGGGTTGAAAGAGATAGCACATGCTGAAAAATAACATGAATTGTCTTTCTAATGTATTTGTTTTAATTACTAATAGTGGAAATAATTATAATAATCAGCCCCCACCCAATTGTTCTTGCTCCTTGCACAGTACTTAAAACACAATGGGAAGAGAAATAAATAAAGCACGGTCTAGAAAAAGGCCTACGCCCCGCAAACAAGCAAAACAAAACTGTTGTCCACCACTTTATGCTAAATTAAATAAAACTTGTCATAATGCCCAATAATTCTCCACCCTTCCTCAGCTGAAGGCTTGAGGTTAAGAAAGGATTTGTGACATATTTGCACTGTTATCAAAAGCAGATGATGGCTGAGGCCACATGACTAGGTTGGAAGAGGAAAGGCTCCAACGTTGTCCTGTGGCCTCCCTCCTTAAAAGAAGTGGGAGATTTTTATGGGATAGAGTCCAGCCTTACAAGAGCATCATGACCTCGTAGACCAGACGAGCTGCCGTTTTCTACTGCAGAGCAGGAACACCATAGGCTTGATTAATTTTCTCATTAAAACCATCTATATCTGGAGGAAGTGAATGAAACTGCTCTGTGCTAATGAAAAACAGAATTAAAGACTTCAGTCTTTTTTCTATTTTAATTGCCTCACATGCCCCAGAAATGTGTTGCACTGCCCTTGCAAAGGAATTAAATAACAAATACTATTCCTTGATCTACGTCCATATTGATGCAGCAGCCAGAGGGAGAAATGTTGGGCAAGCACAATGTTTGTTAAGTGGCAACTTCTAGCTCAGGAAGGGTCAAACCCACAAAGTTCAAAGCCTGCCTTTCCCTGGAGCTACGGTGAACAGATGTATTCAGTTCTGCATTCTGGTTTGGACCTGTCTCCATTGCAAACCAGTTGTTTTACAGATTTCACTGTCAGCAGGTTAGTGGAGAAAACAACAGCAGGATTTGACTAAAGAAAAAGAGCTTTGGGTTAGCAGGAAAAAAAAATCCTCAAGTCTGTAAGAAGGTGTAATATCTTGGGAACTAGAAATGGTACAGAACTACTTAACAGAAAGTGTGCAGATCAGCTTAAATACAGACCACAATTTCTCCCACCCTAACATTCAGTTTAAACCCCCTGCCAAGGAGAATGTAGCACAGAAAGGAAATTGAGGGGGCTCAGCCTTTATGGCAGAGGTTTGTTTAAAACAAAATCGCAGTGGGAGGGGATCCATTAGGACTGAGATCTCCTGGCAGGGGACAGAATGCTCTGCAGTTACTTTTTGTTTGAGACTTGCTTAAGAAATTTATTTAACATGTTCTTAAAAGTTTAAATAGTCATTATTAACACCCCCAATACGAGCTGACATTTGGCCCTTGAGCAGATGCACAGCATGGGTGACTGGCTAAGAACGAGCAACCTGCAAAATGGAAAATTATATTGTTGGGCTGGGGAGAGCAAGCATGGCTGGAGAGAATTCAAGTCAGAGCTGGTGTTACCTCAAGTTTGCTCATAGTTCATCCCTAATGAAAGAATAAATCAGTACCCTTTGATTCCTACCAGCATTTCTAGGCAGTCACACAATAAGATCTAATTTTGTAAGGGAAGGAAAAGCAGGACGCCACTCGTGTTTGTACAGCTTGTTTAAAATGTGACACCTATTTACTGGCGCATTATTTCCTATTACTCCCAAAGGATGGGTTTAATATTTTCTTGGTGAGGAAATTTTCTGCATTGCAAACACAGATCATGGAAAAGTAATATTCCTTTGTGACAGCAATGAGGTGAAGTCATGAATAATTTAAGGTTTTATGCTTTGGCCTCACCATCCCTTAGAAAGCAGAGTGTCTACTGCTTAGGCAGACAATTTGAAAATATGTTTATTGCTGTGATTCTGGCAACTGGAGGAGGGAGAAGAGAGGAAGAGGAGGAAGGGGTGGAGGAAGTCACACCTTATTGCCTGCTGTGTCATTCTCACTGAAGGGTCACACTGATCGCTGGGGCCATTTCTCCAGGGACTGCAGGAGGTCCGGAGGGTTCCTGTGGCAGAGGGGGGCACTTGCTCTCTCTAAGCTGCCGTGGAGAGCAGTGGAGCTTTGAGATTTCTCCTGTTTGCTCAAGATCCAAAATATATACTCGGCAGGAGGAGATAGTCTCTCAATCACAATTTCCAAAATTCTTTTTTTAAAGCTGCTTCTCCGAAGTAGTGTGAGCCGCACCTAAAACACTTACTGTGAAAGAGATTGTGGTTCTGGCCTGTCACTAAACACTGAGGAAAGAGTAACTAAGCCTTTCTTCTATGCAGAAACCAGTTGCTGGCTTTTTTTTACATGTCCACATATAAATATATTGGCCTTAGTCTGAGCCCAAATTATACTCCTGGTTAATACTGTGAATTCAGAGCAATGCACTGATCACTTCTAAGACTGATTTCAGTTTCATGACAGGAACCTCTGTCTCCCCTGAGCCTACAGCCTAATCAGTACTTTTACTGCTAATAGTTAAAATAAGTTAAAGGATAGCTAGCACTCTTCCATTTTTAGTAGAGAAATGCTTAGCATTCTTTGGTTAATCCTTATTTTACCACCTCACTTATTTAATAAATCTAACAAACAGCCTGACTTCTGGGAGAAAGGATTTTTGCTTTAAAGAGTCTTTATAATTTTGGCCAGTGAGAAACATAAGATATGTCCACACAATATAAAGAAACTAAATCCCTAGGTAAAGCACGGGGGTACATGTGGAACAGAAGCCCAGAGAAGCCGGGAGAATTCCTGGTATGTCAAGTAAAGTATCTGAATTATTTGTATTGATTTTTCTATAGGAGCATTTGAAAATATCTACCAACCTCAGGCCAAAATGGGAACTCTTAAACAGGCATATAAATGTCATTTTTTGATGATATAAATGCCGTATTTTGGAAAGCCAAAACAAAGATGCCCAAATAGAGCAATTATTTAGATTGCTGATTATGTATTTGACGTGATTGCGAAAGGTCACTTGTGTCTGGCTGAAGCAAATAGAGACCTGGGGATGATCTCATCAGTTGTAAAGCACAGTGAGGTCAGGTCTAGTTCATCTATGGAAGGAAGACTTCAAAAGAAGAAAACCTCTCCAGCTGAATTAATGTGATGACTCTCTCTCATCTGAGTCATTACTGATCAATTGTTGCAGCATGCTACTGAGGGCACTGCACTGTGGTGGGTGGGAGCTGCTGCACAAACAAGCCATAGCGACCAGCATTTTTGGCCACGTGCATTGCTGACAGACGGGGTCTTAGCACACTGGCCTGGTTCACTTGCAGCTGAAGTAATTGCAAGCGCTCAGCCTATGCTAGAGCAAAAGGTGCAAGTGGACGTGATTTCTCGCATCTCCTGCCTCATCGTGCCTCGTTGTTGTGCGCTATTTAACTACTACGGTCATGCTGTACTTGGGGATGGGTTCCCTGAACATTTAGTCTGGAGACATGTTAATGATGCAGGCACTGATTAAACAGGAGAGTTTATGTCTATAGATAACAGCAGTATCACAGCATGGCAATTTTAATTAGAGGGAATATACTGAGGCTGTTCTTTGCATGTGCGTAGAGTGGGAAAGAGAACCTTGGGTTCCTTCAGGGCAATTAGGTTCATTGCATCTCACAAGGATGTGGACAGGGCTCTCAGACAGGTAGCAAATGGTGTTGATGTGACACAACTCTCACATGCATTGGCCAATGGGTCACTGTGGCTGGAGCGCAGGCTGCCTCTCCGGGGGAATAAGTGGCTGCTGTACTGAGCAGCCGCTCTGTGGTGTCCCAGGCTCCCGATGTCTATGTGTTCCCCACCTGAACACTGCCTGAACCAGGCATTGTTGTCCATTCCCCAGAGTCAGGTAGTCAAGTAAAAATCTGGTTTTATTTGCAGACTTTTCGAGACCCTCCAGTCACTCTTCTGGTCTGTGTTCGGTCTGCTGAATCTCTACGTCACCAACGTGAAAGCCAGACATGAGTTCACAGAATTTGTTGGGGCCACTATGTTTGGGACCTACAACGTCATCTCCCTTGTTGTGCTGCTGAACATGCTCATAGCCATGATGAACAACTCCTACCAGCTCATCGCCGTAAGTTATCTCATTCTCTCTCTTTTTGCTTTTATTTTTCTCCGTGCGCCTCATCTGTTTGGTTTATACCAAGTGTGTATCTTCTGGGATGCTGGAGACTGCTGCCCCCAGTTTTTGACAGCAGATCGTTGGGATTTCTACTCACTAGCCTGAATCATGCTTGCGGAGGAGGTTGTGCTGTGTTTGTAATGCTTCTTAGCTGGAAAAGGCTTACCAGCTGTGATGTGCCCTTGCCTTCTCCTGTAGAGCAACCTCACTGATCACCTTGTCATTAGCAGCTGATCTACTTTGTAGCAGAGAGGGTATACAAAGGGAAGCCTTCCCACTGCTTCCTGATGTTTGGTTTTAATTTGGGGGGTGGGTGTTGGTTTTTTTTTTTTTTCCTCTCTCCTATTATGATTTTCTCATTTGAAACCATGTGTGTCAGGAGCCCAGTCCTGTAATTTCTTATCCCACAGTCTTCCCACTGAAATTAGATCATTTCCATCTGTAACACCAGCCAGTCTCCTGGCAGCTGAATCTGTAGACCCATAATCTCAGATTCCTGAGTAACTTCAGTGCAGGATGGATCTGAGCTGAGGCAGCTCAGGGCTGCCAGTTGGCTGTAGAGCCAGTTTCAAACTTAACTTTATCTTAAATTGAATGTTCAAAACTGGTCTCTCTACTGTAATCTCATTCTGTGTACCTAAAAGCCAATCTGTACATTGATGATTAGATTTGTCAACAGATTGAAAACTAAAGCAGCATGGCTCTGCATTTTAAGGCTCTTCAAGTAAGCTACACAGAAACAGTATAGAAGGAGGCTAAATCCTGTGCTTCAGGTAAACCAGTGGGCACTTACTTTCCAGTTTTGATGCCTAACATGATAGGTTTAGAGATAGTGAGGTGATGAAGTGTTGCATCATCTGTGAACAGAAACAGGAAAGTCATTTGTGTCCTCAGCTGGTCACTCGGAAGTACAGGCAGAGACAAGACTTCCTTCTCTGCTTTGGATGAGTCTTGGATTTACTCTAGAAGATAGCGGGTAAAACAGAGAAAAAAAGAAGCAGCACCAGCTCTCCTACTATTTCTGTTCCCAACTTCTTGGACAAATCTGTGGGGAAATGTATGGGTGAGCTCCTTCCCTGGCCAAAGCACACAGAGGAGAGTATTGAGTTGTCTGCTTGAACAGGTTCCACAACTGCTATTGATCATCTGCTGATTCAAGTGGCTCCTAAATTTAGTTATCTAGTCAAACTGAGCACAGACCCAGTCAAATCGGTGATACTTTTGGAGATCTTATCTTTATTACGTTAAAAAGTATGAGAAAAACTGGACCATTGACCTTCCAAGTGAGCAGAAAAGCAGCTTATCACAAAGGCATCGCTGCTTTATCAGTCTGTTTCAATGCTTTAAGTGCTTTCTCTTTGTTCAGTGCTACTCCACATTCCAGGGAGACTGGAATGAGAGACAGAAAACAAAGATATTCTCCTTGGCCATTTTCTCCCATTCCCCTTCCTTTATTGTCATCAAATAGGCTTGTCACCGACACAAAGCCCAAACCTTAGATTGGCATAATAGCAGTATTTGCTATTCACTGGGATACAAACCACTCATCATTCTTTTCCCTGAATAATTTGAGTGATGCAATGACACATTACAAACAATCCCACGTGACTTAGAGAGACCCATCATAACAATTAACTGAAGTGAATGGTCCAGAGTGGACCTGTTGTATTAATGTTTTTGTATATGGAGCAGTTGGGAACAGTGAATTGCTCCATCAGAAAGTATGCTTGTGAGAGACCTGAGGGTAAAGGACTGAACTCACCAGATAACCTAGGCATAACACGCAATTCAGCGTGCAGCGTGAGCCCCCTCCTCAGAAGAATGATAGTGAAAATGCTACAGGATACTTCTTTGTCACTTAAGCTGTCATATTGCAGTTGCTACTGAGAGCAGTGACATTTCTTGGGAACGCAAGATGCAGTCACTTCCAGCCTTTTCTCGTGCAGTGCTTGCAGCTTGTTTTTTGAAGCTAATATTTCTGTACGCTCACAGCATTCTGTCCGGGACAAGTTTTCTTCATACGTCTTTTAAGGGCAAACATCAATTAATCTCCTCCCTGAAGAAAACAACTCATTAATAAATGTTGAGCTTTACAACTGTGGGTCGTTTTTTAACCTCCTGTAATCAGGTCTACCCCTTTCTGAATCACAGTAGACTGGTTGCTAGACTGGGCGTTTCTTCCTCCTGATATTTATATTACATTGAATACACATGAAATGACAGCATTCCAGGGAGGGAGGAGGGGAAAGGACCAAGAAGCCCTTGGAGTGGGGTGGAGGTCTTCTTCTCAAATACATCCGTAGGAAATCTCGTGCCATGTGCAGGACTCTGCAGAGAAATAAAATGAGCTATACATCAGGGATTAGAGTGCATCTGTGCTTGTTGATTTCCCTGCAGTGAAGTGGTCAGGACATCTTAATTAATTCCACTTGTTAATGAGCCAGTGGCACTGCTGCAATGCAAACAGTCTTTCTCCCCTCCTTTCTTCCAGGGACAAATATGTTAATGCATTTGTAGCAGTTATTCTTTAGGTTAGCTTTTCTCCATTGCCTCATATATACATGAATTTCTGCTGTGAGGTTAGAGAAAGGAGAATCTAAGCTGCTCTTCGTTGTGTCTCCCCAGTATGGGGGTTAGGGCTTGGTAGTTAATTAAGCACTGTAGGCGCACAGCATGAAAACACAGGGTATCTGTGGAAGACAGAGCAAGGCAAGCAAAGAGTAAAACCTCCACGTAGCTTTGAGTGATTCTTGACTCACAGAAGGAAGAATTTTTCTGCCATATTTTTGTTGTTTTTTTACTAAGCTATTTCAGAGTTCAATAAATACATTTTTCTAGGGGTACCCTGAAGCAGTTTCAATATTGATTTTTTTCATACAGCCCATTTTTCTCTTTTGCCAAACTATTGTCAAGAGCTGGTTATGGGAGATACTATGTTTCACCAACAAAGCAAACAAAATCCAAATGCACACCAAAATTTCCATACGCTTTGCACTGTTTCAATATGTGAAGATCAGAATGTTCTGTACAAGCATCACAGAATGCAACTGGATCTTACGCACTACCGGGTCTCTCATCTCAGTACCTTCGCAGACGTGACAGAAATACCATCACCTGATGAATATAAGAGGAATATGTCATGATGACAAGAGAAAGGACAATGGAACTTACCTGAGAGTAGCCAGGTGGCTCCATCATTCGTAAGTGGCAGAAAGTACAGAGTGGGTAATGAGGACACTATATGTGATAGGCTGTTTCTCATAGGATTGCCACTTGGCTGCGTCTGAAGTTATACGAGCCTTCTGCCAGTTTGTAGTTTGCTCGAAACGATGTGATAGTGGGTGTTACTGGGGGCCCTAGGGTGCAGGTGCATTTTGGCCTTTCTGGTGCCTTAGGGTGCAGGTACATTTTGCAGGGAATTAGCAATCTAGGCATTTTTTTCTGAAAGCACGTTCCTTGTGGACACATCAGTGATATTCTGGGAAGTCATGCAGGAATTAGTCACTGGAACTGTACCAACAGTTCTGACTCTGCAGTCGCAGGAGCAATGGGAAGCAAAATCGATGACAGAACGGCAACTAAGACCCATCTGCAGGAGGAAAACCGTAGGGCTGTGAACTCGTAATCTGAGTTCCAGGTGAGTTAAAGCGATAAGTGGCACACAACAGCACTGCAGCACTAGGCATCCCACTGACATATTAAGGAGAAACGTAAGCACTTGCAGCTTTCAGATGTTTTAGGAAAGTACGATGCTTAATACCTCAGGGATAGCAGCACACCAAAGTAGGTCTGGGAAAAATTACCTCTAACTATGGTGCATGAAAGTGAAGGTGTTACAGCTTCGAGTGCGTAATACATGGTGTACGTGTGATGTTGCAATAATGACTTCACTCTAGCAGTATGTATTAAGTTACGAAATCGTTTTGTAAATTGTATTTTGTATCCTCCTGTTGGTTTGTATGTCTGTTATTTCAAGCTAGTTCATCTCAGACAGCTGTTACTGCAAAAGACAGCTGCATGTTTAATTTTTTTTAAGTGTATCTCTGCCAGGAGAGTGTAGGACCAAATTGAAACCTAGTTGCCAGTGTTCGGATTGAAGAATTACGTCATTGGGACACCAAACTAGGAGTGCAGTTCTAAATGATGGAATGAAATAGAGTGGATTAGCACATATTGTGGAGGACAAGAATGAAAATGATAAATATTTTGCATAGTAAAACAAAATCTGTACAGTAAACAGAAACAGTTGGTATGTGCAGCTAAAATAAGTGATCACTTTCAGGAAATTTTTACTCTAAGTGTAGGGCTGTTGTACATGGAATTTTCTCCATTTTTGCAGAGTAAAGAGCTTAAAAATTAAAGCACAGAGGAATATAAAGATTTTTCAGCTCCCTATTACATTCTTTCCAAGATGACTTTGGATTTCCCCCAGGAAGTAGTATCAAACTTTTCTTGATCTACAAAGAACAAGAATGCCTCTAGTTTTCTGCACCAATTGAACTCCCTCAGCACCATGGCAGTAATTGCTACCCAGTTTAATTCACAACAGCAGCAGAAATTCTCTTCCCCACTGTGATCTATGACCCTTAGGACTGTCAAAAAAATGTTGCACCTCCTCTGCTTGCACGACCTGCACAGTTATTACTTGGTGGTTTTGCTAAGGAAGAATTTTATGAATCAATAAATTTAGTTCAAGATACATAGCTGGACAGTCCCTGCATGTGGTAGGTTTTGGGATAGCAGATTGTCCCCCTATAGAGGTAAGGCCAGCTCCAAAGCCTCGCTCAAATCTAAGCTATTGTAAAGCATCAGGAAGCGTTCATCTCACAAGCCCCATTTCAGAACCATTAATTTGAATTTCTTAGGAGAAATTGAGATATGTTTGTTTTTTAATTCTGTCATACAGCAGGAAATGAAATTATGCTCTTGTTATACTCTTGTTGCCAATATGA